GACCACGCTTCTCAATCTCTTCTTCTAAGCGTGACTTTTGCTCTAAAAAGTCAGGCTGGACAGAAAGCAACCGTCTTGCACAACAAGAATTGCTGGAGTGACTTTTACTCTGCTTATCTTTCTTGCTCTTACAATCATGTCTCAATCCACCTCGTGGCCACAGACCACGTTCCTGCAATACTCGCTTGCATCCTTTGGGCTTACCTCTCCACTGTTCAGGAATAGAAAGATTGTCTGCATCAAAGCTCATTTGCTGAGTATGTAAGGTAACTCCATCTAGTTCGTAATACCATCCATTTCGCAAATGAGGTTGCTTCCCACCTGGATCCATATTCATATGAGATGCTCGAAGGGCGTCAGGAGCATCTGCAGTATGGGATGTTGCATGATCAAAAAGAAAGAGAGCTTGGGCATTGGGAAATGTCGCTTCAAATATCGGAATTGCAATGTTGAGAACATGGTCGACCAGATTATCCCCTTTCCACCAGGATCCATTGCCAACTTTAATGTATTCAGTAGCTTGTCGTGGATTGATGCGAAGGCCAGGAATTGGCTCCATATTTCGACTTGCGAGTATTGAAGGAAGCGAAATAGTAGATGGCATTTCAAGCCTAGGGCAGGGAAGAATGAAATCAGACACCATGAGACCTTGTCCCTTTGATTTCTTTCTGATAAGATGCTTGTCTTTATGGACCCAACGATGATGCACTCCATCATTTGAGTGGAACGTGCATTCATCATGTGCACATGGAATTAGGAGTCGCTTCCTAGCCGGCAAGGGAGTTTGATCCAATCTTCCTTCAGAGGACCATTTAGGCATCCTCGGTTCCAGCTCCTTCCACCTCGGAAGAAAGCACTGCTGCCTATAGAAAACCACTTCTGGCTTCTCATGTCCATCAATATAGACCCCTTTCCTAACCTCCTTCCACTCAAAGCCTAACTTTTTCAACCACCGAATTCCAGTTGATGCAGTTACACTCATTCGTCCCTTTGTATGCTTGTCAATTAAGGCTTGATACACGCAAGATACCCGAAGCTCTGCATCTTGTTGACTTGTACGTGTTGCCCAATACTCGGTCACCGCTTTCGCAAGCCCATATCCAGATATATCTAAACCATTATCAGTAAACCAAATACAACTCAATTATAGAAATCTAAAGCACAAGATAGAAATACTTACTCTCCCCAGCACCATCAATGTATTCACGTACAGCAATCAATGTTCCTTCATCATTCAGCATACTGTGTGATTTGGCATGTTTGCCCCGCAAACTAGACATAATCGTTCTTGTCTTGATCCAACTCTTCTCCCAGCGAATTATATTGTGTGCTGTATGCTTGCCTCTTCCCCAGCCAGTAGCTGTATTTAGAGCGGCTCTCTTTCGTGGAAGATCAGGATGCTTCAACTGCCAGTTCATAAACTCGAATACTTGAAAGTAACTGTCAAGATCGTGAGTACTAGTTGAGCTTCACCTTTTCTGATACAGTACTCTGCGTATATCTGCAACACCTATATATATTATCTTCTGTCAGCATATCTTTATTGATGTTTTAGATTTTACATCACTAATGTAGAATCATACCTTTTTTTAAAACAGTTGCTCTAATTTCTTTGTTGACCATTGGCCATTTCTCTTCTACTTCTCTCACCAGATCCTCCCAGTTATCTTCATCTCTTACCAAATCTAACTCCTCCAGCTCCCTCAATCGTGCTCTCTCTCTCTGAGCTCTGCGCCACAATGTGCTCTTTGAAGGCACTTTGCCTGTACTGGTATTGTTGCTCTGTGCCGAATTATGAGAATTTCTTCTCAAGGCTGTAGTGGGTTCATTCGATATAGTTGGCAGCTCTGACTCTGAAATGGCTGGATCGGGATCATCCTCTTCATCTCCGTACTCGGATTCTGCATGCAAGATATCTTGGTACTGAATTGGAGAGTCTGAAAGATTGCATAACTTTTTGGGACAGCCGCCTTGAGAGCCAGCAGCACGCAAGCGCTTTCGTTTATCATTTGGACGGGGCATATCGTTATTGAGAGTGTGCTGTATTCGAAATTGGTTGTTTATTGTTGTGTCTCTATCCTCGTTTTTTCTATTTTTTTTCTTTTTTTCCATGTCTTTGTCATCCACTTTTTCTACAGTATATTTCATCCTGCTACTATGTAGATTCTATCCCTAGTTTCACTCTCACCAAAGTTTTCACTTTTTAAACTTGAACTACTTTCCCATAAGCTCCTCAATTTTAATAAAAAAACCATGGGGCTCTTCTCCTTGCAAATCGCTTTCTCTCCATGGTTTTTTTTAATTTTTTTAATTTTTTTTGAGTAACTAGTTCAACTTGAAGATCGCGTTTGGCCTGTTTTGAGGTCCCGTTTTGGTTCACTTTGCACTATACCCCCCCGCCCCCTTCCTCCTTCG